TCCCAGGCCACAGCACAGAGCTGGATCAGAAGTAGAGCAGCCGGGACTTGAACCGGCACCCATGTGGGATGCTGGCACCGCAGGCAGTAGCTTTACCTGCTACGCCACAGCACCAGCCCCGTCAATACCCTACTTTTAAAAGGCAGACACTCGGGGCCGGCACCCTGGCTCACTTGGTTAATCCTCTGACTGCAGCGCCAGTATCCCTTATGGGCACCGGGTTCTAGTCCCAGTTGCTCCTCTTCCAGTCCAGCTCTCTGCTGTGCCTCAACTTGGGCAGTTGAGGATGGCCCAAGTGCTTGGGTGCCTGCACTCGGCTCCTGGCTTCAGATTGACGTAGCTCCGGCCGTGGTGGTGGTTTGGGGGGTAAACCAACGGAAGGAAGACCTTTCTCTCTCTCTCTCTCTCTCACTGTCTAACTCTATCTGTCAAATTAAAAAAAAAAAAAGGCAGACACTCAGATTTTACCAATAAACTTTGCTTATTTGCATGCTATTTAAAAAACCCTTAAATATAAAGATATAGACAGACAGCTTAAAAATAAAGGAATGGGGGAAAGATATGCCATACAAATGCAGATTAAAGGAAAGCTGAGTGGCTACTCCTGGGTTCCTAACCCTCAAAAGACTGAGACAATAAATGATTATTGCCATCTGCTAAGATTTAGAGTAATTTGCTATGCAGCAATGGGCAGCTAGTAGAAAACTACCAGTGTTTAGAACCAAGGACCCACCCATTTCACCCTACTGCTGGTGTGTTCTTTCCCCAATAATCTTTCTTTGGTGTTCAGGAATTATTGGTAAAGCATTAGTTTGTGCTTGTACTCCACCACCAAAATTTAAGCCTGATAGTTAGCTTTCCCCAGTTAAAGTCTTCCAAAGTCCCCTGCACATAGTTTCAAAAACAATACACTTAATCTTTTTTTTTAAGATTTACTTATTTGAAAGAGTTACAGCGAAAGAGGGGAAGAGGCAGAGAGAGAGAGAGAGAGAGAGATCAATTTTCCATTTGCTGGTTCACTCCCCAGTGGCCACAACAGCTGGGCCAGGCAGAAGCCAGGAGCCAGGAGCTTCTTCTGGGTCTCCCAAGTGTGTGCAAGGGCCCAAGGACTTGAGCCATCTGCTGCTGCTTTCCCAGGTGAATTAGAAGGGAGCTGGGTCGAAAGTGGAGAGGTGGGACTCATATGGGATGCCGTTGTCGCAGGCAGTGGCTTTACTTGATATATCACAGCACGGCCCCTACACTACACAACATCATGTAATAGTTTCCTTCTGGTAAAAGCCAGATAGGATCCACTAACTATGATTATTATCTATTGTTTTTAAGTTGTGCCCAAATTCAAGTGCCTCTTTCCAGGAGATGAACTAATGAACTATATGGATTAAATAAAATAACACAAAACACAATACAAACCAGATATCTACAGAATCATTTGTTCAAAGCCCCCAGGATTGTTACAAATGCTTGCTTTCTATGTTTTCATTAGAAAATAGAGAACAAGTTTGCCCATCAGTGTGATTCAGTGAAGTGAGGAGGCTGTAGCTAGGGTCACTACAACAGATGATATAAGACAGTTGTAACTGCTATTATCATCATCTGTAAGTTTCTGCATTAAGACAAATGATTTTTTTTTTTATTTTTTGACAGGCAGAGTGGACAGTGAGAGAGAGAGAGACAGAGAGAAAGGTCTTCCTTTGCCATTGGTTCACCCTCCAATGGCCACCGCGGCCGGCGTGCTGCGGCTGGCGCACCGCGCTGATCCGATGGCAGGAGCCAGGAGCCAGGTGCTTTTCCTGGTCTCCCATGGGGTGCAGGGCCCAAGCACCTGGGCCATCCTCCACTGCACTCCCTGGCCACAGCAGAGAGCTGGCCTGGAAGAGGGGCAACCGGGACAGAATCTGGCGCCCCAACCGGGACTAGAACCCGGTGTGCCGGCGCCGCTAGGCGGAGGATTAGCCTAGTGAGCCGCGGCGCCGGCCAAGACAAATGATTTAAAAATAACAGCAGAGCAGGGTTCAGACGCCTGTGTCCCGTACGTGAGTGCCTGAGTTTGAGGCCCAGTTCCAGCTCCTGACTCCAGATTCCTGATAATGCAGACCCTGGGAGGCAGCAGTAATGGCTCAAGTCATTATCCCTGACATTCATCGGGAAGACCTGGATTGTATTTCTGACTTAAGACTCTGGCCCTGGCCAAGCCTCAGACATTTCAGGCATTTGGAGAGGCAACCACCACATGGAGGTCTCTCTCTCTCTCTCTCTCTCATTTTCTCCTCTGCCTCTCAGATACATTTTAGAGAATGATACAATTCATCCTTCTTTGAAATGTTGCCCTGTTTTTTACTGCTGTTAAATGCCCCGTGTTCTTATCTAGGACAGAATGAAACAGCAGCCTGGGGGATCTAGATCTCAGAGACAACGAAGAAGTTGGATCTCTTACCAGAATGCTAGCAGCAGTGTGGGTAATGAGCAAAGATCTGCCATTGTAAATGCACATTTCCAGGACATACCCTGCAGAGAGTCTGACTGAATCCCCACGTGATTCAAAAGAATTAGGACCAGGGACTAAACTTCAAGCTCTAAAATCTCATGCTTGACAGTTGTTATTATTCTGGGCAATTTTGCAATCACAGCTAACTCTATGTGTATTTTATGTAATTCACATTGCTACAATATGATATACAAAAAAATAATAAAGGGCTTCTTTGATATTAGTTTAATATCCTAAGTTCTTTAATTGCATTAGTATATTTCCATGTGGTGTAAAAAGAGACAATTCAATTTTCAGCTCCTGCATTTTTATTTTAGAGTTCTTGCTCTTTATAACTAATTAATTTTCCATAACTGTCATAGGGTTGTAATCAGTCACTATGAATCAGGAGTAAAATTCAGCTAATGTCAGAAATTATTTAGGAGCTTTAACTTGGTTTCTAAGTAGAACATTTACTCAAATGAGTTAGAACAAAATAAGCGAAGTTCTACTACTTTGTGTTTTCATAAAGATTTAGTCTGCTATTGCAATGTAGCAGTCAATGCTATAAAGATTACAGAAGCTATATGTCATCATTTCCTCCTTAAAAATCATTTTTAGAATTTTACACAATAATAAAAAATGCTGTTCAAGAGTTCTATGTAAAAGAAAAAATAGAAGGTATCTTGTTGGATCACGTTTTTCTTAGTATGTTTCATTTAGAAACTTTTGAAATTGATTTATCAATACACTAGTTCAGTAATTTTAATAATAAGTTGTGAAAATGAAAAGATAGACAGTTTTTCAGTATGGATAAATGATATTGGGAAGGATTAAAATAAATGTAATTTGTTAAGAAATATATAATATGCCCTCTATGCTAAATTGTCAAACCTTTTGGTGAAAAGAATAATTGGTCAAATTCCTGAAAGATGAAAGAGGTAGAAGTCATTAAACCAGTGGTTCTCGAATTTTAGTGTGGGTTAAGAGTCCCATTTCCAGTGTCAGTCAGTTTGATATACAACCTGAGAATCCACATTGGTGATTCAGAGGCAGATACTCAGATTCTACTGTGTTCTTGGTGAGGGAAAAATACAAAAGTGATTGGTGAGTAGTGAATGATGGCTGGTAAGTAGCATCTACAGGAAAAGAATGACGTATAGACTAATCTGAAAAAGAAAGTTTGAATAGTTAAATCTTTCTAGGTGCATGTAAGGAACAAGGATACAGAAAACTGGTCACTAGTTATTTGTTGTCTTTGAAAACAGAAACAAAAAGAAATGGGTTTAAATTGCAGTTAGTAAATTTAGGATTGTTCTATAAATACATTTTCCCAACATGGGAGCCCTAGTTTATCTCTTGTCTGGACACCACCCAAACCCGCCCCTTCACTTCACTTGATTCTTAAGGAGCCTCTGCCAAAATTTTCGTTGCAACCAACACACCATTAGGAAGCATTTTCCTATAGTCTTTTTTTTTTTTTTTTTTGCACCAAGGTAATTCTAAAATGATTTATAGTAAGAGAAGGTGAATTGTATTTTAAAGGTTTTTGTTTTATTAGAGAGAGCTATAATCAGCATATATCCTTTCAGCTTACGTTCTTTAACTGCCTTTTTTGATCATGAGAGAAATCTGTGTTTGCTTCAGGAGCCCTTCGGATCAAATAACAATTTTCTCTTCAAAGCCTTCAATTCCCAATCACGCACATCAGCCTATCCTCAGTGGTCACACTCTATTCAGAAAATTCTTCAATCTCTTTTCTTTTGTGTGTTTTTGGAAAGAACTCAAATATTTTTAAAAAGGGTAGGTGGAAGTTGGAAGATGAAGATAAATATAACACTCTCAGATTTTGTTCTTCCTCTTGTGTGTTCTCTCCCTCTCTCTTCCTTTTCTTTTTCTTTTAAAGATGTATTTATTTATTTGAAAGGCAGTATTACAGAGAGAGAGAGAGAGAGGCCAGAGCTGGGCTGATCTGAAGCCAGGAGCCAGGAGCCTCTTCTGGGTCTCCCACGTGGGTGCAGGGACCCAAGGACTTGGGCCATCTTCTTCTGCTTTCCAAGGCCATAGCAGATAGCTGGATCAGAAGTGGAGCAGCTGGGACGTGAACCGGCACCCGTAGGTGGCGGCTTCACCTGTTATGCCACAGCACTGGCCCCGTCTTCGTTTTCTTTTTAAAAGTCAATTCTCAAACTCCATTTCAACAGTGCTTTCTCTCTTTGGATTCTGTATCTTGCTAGATCCACATATATTACAGAGTTGTCTTACAGATTTCTCAATGCTTTATTTTTATAAGATGTTATTGTTGATTACAGGAGTGGGATGTCAAAGAAAATGTAGGCAACTGTCAAGAAGAAGTGATAGTGTAGATACTGCTAATATTTTATTTTATGAAGAAAACTGACATGAATCTATCTGTTCTGATCTGTTCTATAACAGAATCATAATTTCTAGATTAGTCATGTTTCAAAAGAGATCATGGAAAGTGAAATGCATTAATGATTCAGCTACGCCTTTCTCTCCATAACTGAAAAAGGCTGTCCTTGCTGCTGACTGGGTCCTCACACAACCATGAAAAAATGTAGAGGAGACAACCTCCTCTTCCATCCCTTGAATAGGTAAGGAAAGCCCTTCTTAGAAGTCTCACCTTCACCCTCAGCCAATTCCCTTGCCAGTCCCACTAGCAAGTTACTAACCCTTACCTTTGGGAAAACTGATAGAGTGAATGTCTGGCTTTTTTTATAACTCTGTGTTGGGAAGTGGTTTCATAGAAGTCAAAAACTGGATTAGCAATAGATAGGAGAGAAATCATTATGGTGATATTTTAAATTATTCAGTTTTTATTTTAGATGCATATATGTGTGTGTGTGTATACATATACACACATGGGGCGAGGGAAAGAGAGATTAATTCTCTCTCCTGGTTTATTCCCCAAATGTCTGTAATACCCCTCACTGCCAAGACCAAAGCTGGAAGCCAGGAACTCAATCCATGTCTCCTACATGGGTGACAGGAGCCCACCTACCTGAGCCATCACCACTTGTCCCCCGAAGTGTGCATCAGGAGGAAGCTTGGTCAGAAGCAGACCAGGGACTCACATCCACTCCGATATGAGACAGGGACTTTTAAACCTGCCCCACTACGATAATATAGTTTGAAATTTTTTTTTTTTCGTATTTGAAAGGGAGAGAGAGGGGGTGAGAGAGAGAGAGAGTGAGAGAGACAGAGAGAGAGAAAGAAAGAGAGAATCTCCCATCTACTGGCTCACTCAAATTGGGCTCGCAAGCCCAGGCACTCAGACCTGGAATTCGGGCTTCTCAAGCAATGTATTAACCACCACACCAACCACCTACCTCTATGGTGATATTTTTGACGACTCCCAGAACTTTCCCAAATGTGAAAAAATAGTCATCTGAAATTTTATGATGACTTAATAAGTTAGTTTTATTCATTATTCTAAACTTCAATAAATTTGTTTTCTGTTTTGAAATTTACACATTGCCTCAAAATGGGAGTTACTTCTATATCAATTATGTCTTTTCTTTCTATTGATCTAAGATCTCCTTTCTCTGTCTCTCTCCCTCTTTCACTCTCTCTCTCTCTCTCTCTCTCTCTTTCTCTCTCAAAACATTTTTATTCTAAATTATTCAATTTCCCAAGCAACAATTTTTTTAATTCTTATAGTGGAAAGGAAGAAAAATTAGACAACGGAAGATGGGTTATAATGAGGAAAGTAAGGAAAATAAAATAGGATTGGCAGAAAGAAGAAGGAGTGGGGTGGAATGAACAGTGACTAATCTGGATGGTATGGTCTAATGTGAGAAATTAGGTCACTTGAAATGATGGGCAGGATAAGCCATTAAGACACAGGAGCAGAGAGAAGGAGAGAGGGAGGAAGTGGACTCCTGTTTCAGGCATGCACCCTGCAGGTTAGAATTTGTCTCTCCTAACCACACTGCAGGTGTGTCCCTGGAGATGCATGTTCAAATAGCTTGGCATTAGGATTCTGATGGCACTCCTCTTTTTTTTTTTTTTTTTTCACCTAAAGATTTCCTAACAATGATGCTTAAAACAATTCAGGTAAATACTTAAGCCTTTTAACTTCTCTCAGCAGTAATTAAAGCAAGATTAGACCAGACCAAGGACATTTTTATGCGCTGAGCTCCAAGGGGCCAGACCTTCCAAGTAATGGGAGTTTCCTAAAGATTTATTCCTCTACGTAAAATCTAAGTGGTTTTTAGAGCAAACAGCACACCCAAGCCCACTAATAATATTTCTTGGATTTGTTCTAGAATTTAGAGGTTACCCTTTATGCTTTGTAGTCACCTGTGCTTTCCCTTTTTCTATATTTTGCCAGATACAATAATCACTGGAAATATTATAGGTACTTTTTGATTCTTCCAATTTTGAGTAATACACAGAGAATCTTGTTGAAATGCTCCCTTTATTATTATAGTTATCCTTAAATTAGATTTGTGTTACTTTTAACCTTTATATCTATTATGAAATAAAACAGATCTAGAAAGCCATATAAGATAAATATATACCCTAAGCAGTACTATACTACAAACATTCACATGACCAACATTCTAATCAAGATGTAGAATTTTCCAGATGTTCCAGAAGCTCTCCCTGTGCCTTGTTCCAATCTCAAACCTCTCCCTCCTCAAACAGACCCAAGAACCCTATTTTCTTACTTATCATTTCCATGGTTTTGTGTGTGTGTGTGTGTGTGTGTGTGTTTGACAGGCAGAGTTAGACAGAGAGAGATAGAGAGAAAAGTCTTCCTTCCGTTGGTTCACCCCGCAAATGGCCACTATGGCCTGTGCGTTGTGCCAATCTGAAGCCAGGAGCCAGGTGCTTCCTCCTGGTCTCCCATGTGGGTGCAGGGCCCAAGGACTTGGGTCATCCTCCACTGCCCTCCCGGGCCACAGCAGAGAGCTGGACTGGAAGAGGAGCAACTGGGACAGAACCGGCACCCCAACCGGGACTAGAACCCGGGGTGCTGGTGCCGCAGGCAGAGAATTAGCCTAGTGAGCCGTGGCACCAGCCTCCATGTGTTTCTTTATAGTTCTATAACCCAACTGTGCACCATAGATACTGTATATGGAAATTATTTTATATTAAATATTATATATGCCTTTCAAGTCCCCATATCTACATGTTACCTTTCCTCCATTTCTTCATAGTTACCTATTGCAGAACTGGAAGTGTTGAATGTGTAGCTTCCCAGGTTGGATTCACTGATTCCACACTTACTGGTGTGGTTTTGTCCTGTTCCTCTTTCCTCTTTATTTCCTAAAAACTGACAACTGGATTCAGAGGCTTCATCAGACCTGGGTTTTCCCTGTTTGGGTGGGAATACAGGTTGTGTATGTTCTTTCATCATGAGGCATAAAAGGTCTTTCTTATTCTCTTTTTGTGACATTAGTAACTATTGATGTCCATATCATTAATTTGCAAAATGATGACACACAAATTCCACTATCTCTTTTTCATTTATTTTATAAAGAGACACAGCTCCACATCTATCATTTGGTTACCTAGTGGTTCATATAGAAAAGTCAGGATAGGCGGCGCCGCGGCTCACTAGGCTAATCCTCTGCCTTGCGGCGCCGGCACACCGGGTTCTAGTCCCGGTCAGGGCACCAGATTCTGTCCCGGTTGCCCCTCTTCCAGGCCAGCCCTCTGCTGTGGCCAGGGAGTGCAGTGGAGGATGGCCCAAGTACTTGGGCCCTGCACCCCATGGGAGACCAGGATAAGTACCTGGCTCCTGCCTTCGGATCAGTGTGGTGCGCTGGCCGCAGCATGCCGGCCGCGGCGACCATTGGAGGGTGAACCAACGGCAAAGGAAGACCTTTCTCTCTGTCTCTCTCTCACTGTCCACTCTGCCTGTCAAAAAAAAAAAAAAAAAAGTCAGGATAAGATTTCCCTCCCATCTGCTAGTTCATTCCCCAAATGGCCATGACAGGACTGAGTCAGGCTCAAACCAGGAACCAGGAACTCCATCTCTTCTCCCATAATTCACTGCCTTCCTAGACCCATTAGCAGGAAGCTGGATTAGAAGCAGAGTAGCCAAGATTCTTACCAGCATTCTGACATGTGCCACAATATTTGTCCCACCTTTTTTTTTTAAGCTCAAATTGTCATTTCTTTGCCTAGTGCAATTCTCTTCCAGTTAGCTTCTCAGTCCTTTTGATACTAGTAATTTTTGCTATCTTCATTGATATCTGATATAAAATATTCCCAGGTCATTGTATGTTTCCTACCATAGACATGCAATCAGTCATGTTTCTAAAAGCGCTGATTGACTTTAGAGGGAAATATGATTTTAAGACTGCAACCTTAGTACTAATGCTTAGTGTTATTGGGTTGGTCATTGTTTCTGTGACTTTCCAATAGCAGTGTAAGGAAATTTATCTATTGATAAGAACACATATAGGCATAATTTTACAGTTAAAATACTTCATACTGACATTTTCAATTAATATTCAAGCTATTTTTTATTTTTCATCTGAATCCATTTTCTTACATGTCGAGTTTCCTAGTTCCCAAAGATACATACAGTAGATGACTGTTTTAGTCCATCCAGGCTGCCATAACAAAATGCCATGGTCTTAAAAGCTTATAAATGACATAAATTTATTTCCAAGGTTGGGAAATCCAAGATCAGAATGCCAACAGACTCAGTGTGTGGGGAGGGCCTGTTTCCTGGTTGACAGATGGCTGCTTCTCACTGTGTCCTCACATGGTGAAAGGGTGGACAGGTTCCTGTGGGCTTATTTTATTTGGGTACTATCCCATTCGTGAGGGCTCCATCCTTAAGACCTAATTATCTCCAAAAGACCTCACCCGTGAACACCACCATGTTGCTCTTTAAGAGTTCAGGATATGAATTTTGAAAGGACATGAGCAAATTGTAACAGACAGAATTAAAATATCTCATAATTATTCATTTTATTCCACATTACACACATGATAGGCTCAGAGTAACAACACATATATTACCACCAGCAACATAACTACAAAGAACAACTTAAAATATTTTTTCATATGCTCTCCTCTCTTTCACTCATTTTTAAAAACAGGTTTATTTACTTACTTGAAAGCAGAAGGACACAGAGAGGCATCTTCCATCCACACAATGGCTGTAACGCCTGGTCTCCTGTGGGGTCTGTCATCTACTTCTTCCCAGGTACATGAGCAGAAAGCTAGATGGGACACAGAGGAGCTGGGACCTGACCTGGGGTGTGGGCATCCCAAACAGCAGTTTAATGCACTGCATGTGCCACAACACCCACCCCTCACTCCATTTTTTTGTAGCTGTACTAGATCTGTATTGTACAAGAAGATAACCTCGACATTTTATGCTCTCTACTTCTCACTTAGTATTAGTAACTATGTCTTTTGTGCATACCACCAGTGTCTCTCTAATCATTTTGGTGATCTGAGACTCATTGGTTGGTAGATTTTCAGGAAGCATTGACGTGAACAATATTCTTGCAAATGAATAACCAGTCCTGCATCTTACAGAGATGAGTGTTTTCATCACATTTGATTCCTTTACTGTCTCAAGTAAGTGAGTCCATTTTCCTCTGGTGTAAAGTGTTGTTGTCAA